ATCCCGCGCTTCTAACGATCTTTCGTTCATTGATTAAAAGTTATTATTTTCAAAGTTATGACGATTTAAAGTTTTCGTAATTTTAATCGAGTTTAAAAAACGTAACTATTTTATTTTCTCGTGTAATTTTAGCTTAAAGGATCACTTCTTAAGTTTCTATATACAATCAGAATACATTATTGTTCTTTTAATTATACAAAATATTCAAATATATCGAATATCCCGTCGTTTTGTTTCACACTGTAAATTAAAAACATATCACGTGTGATTTTAACCTTAAACGTTTTGATATATTTATTATATTATATTTGTTTTTCGATACACGCAACGTTCTCCTTAGCTTCGTTCGTGTATCGAAACAATGTCAAAGTGCGCTTCTCGAATTCAGATCAGTTCGAGACATGCTCGAAAGACAACGTGACGTTACACGCACGAAGCGTTGCTCGTAATACGATAAAGAACCGGCATTTTTGGGGATTAAGTGCAATTTCCTCTGCCCCCTGCAGGAGAACTTTATCAACGTCGGCTTCCTGAGGCTGTTTCGCGCGGCTAGGCTAATCAAACTACTCAGGCAGGGTTACACGATACGAATTTTGCTCTGGACCTTTGTACAATCTTTCAAAGTAAGTCAATATATAATATTGAAATTATTAACAATTTTTAATTTTTTCCTATCGAATCGGTCAAGTGATTAAGACTTTTAAGTGAAAATTGTATTTATTGCGATTGAAAACAAAAAATATATAAAATAATATTCGTTGATAAACATTGATCGAAAAATTCATATTTTAAAAATTATAAACAAATTTTTGTTTCTGTTCTTCTGTTCTAATTCGTTTCGAAAAATTTTATTATTCCTTCTTTTCTTGATTTCAAGATATTGTTTTTTCTATACATCTCAATAACTTTCTTCTAAATGATTTGATTTACCATAGGAAATTATTTATAAGTTTAAAAATATTAATTTTTCGATCTACGTTTATTAAAACTTTTTCTCTTTATTCAACAAATACTATCTTATCATCCTGTTTAAAAAATTGAAATCTTTTTCAATTTTACAATCCAATTCTTTTCCATTCCAGGCTCTGCCTTACGTTTGTCTCCTCATAGCGATGTTGTTTTTCATCTACGCGATCATCGGTATGCAGGTACGTATCTTTCCATAGGAGAAATTCCTGTGTATTTCATTCAAGGAATTATTTCCATAATTTCCGTCTTAATGTCACGGAATGCGGAATTTAATGAAAATTTCGATGAAAGAAAAAAAAAAAAAAAAGAAAAAAGAAAACGTATCGAAAAAATAGTCTCCAATGATGAAAAGTCAACATTGGAAGCTGTTCGGCTTGTGGGAAAAGGGCTAGTGATATTGTTTACAGGAACAGAATGATAAACGATAACTATAAATGGGTCCATTAGTCACCATGAAATTCCGTTGTCAGGTCTTTGGAAATATATCGAACGATCCAGGAACAGCGATCGATGATCACAACAACTTTCAGTCCTTCTTCGCTGGTCTTATGTTGCTTTTTCGGTGAGTCGAGCAGCTAAACGGACCAAGTTACAAGTTGGGTTAAAATTGAACTTTTTTCGATCAGAAAGCTACCGATCTGTGATTTTTTTTTTTTTTTTTTTGGTTTAA